TTCCAGACATCATTTTTACACCTTTTCTGCTTCTCCTCAACCCCGGGGTTCCATCCCTTGGAACTTTGTTGGGGGCTTTCACTGTGTTCGTTCCCTCTATTTTTAAGTATACGTGAGTGTCCCCTAAAATCCTAAATTTCAAACCGTCTTAACTTCTTTTTGCGTTTCCTTTATTCTGTTTGCTGACAAAACCCTGTAGCCCCCTGCCTCCACTCTCCTAACTCATTCCTTTTTTAAAATCTTCTAATTATTTAACAAGATAACATCTTTTGATCACAAGATCAAAAATTGTAAGACTGTGTAAAGCCAGATTTATGCAGACAAGTCCCCCAGCTGTGTGCCCCATCCACCCAGTTCCTGCACCTGTGTTGTAATCTGTGGGTTGACACCTGAGGGCCACGTGACTGTTCTGTTCCCCGATGACCTTTCATGTGAGGTCCATTGAGGATCCTGGCTTTATTACATTGCTGGTTGCAAAATGGTGATTTCAATTCCACCATTTCTTCTAAGTGATTAATCTGTAAAGAGTAGCTGTCCCTCCTCTGCCCCCGTTTTTATGTGTATGTATCACTGCGGTCTCATGGAATTCTTTAAAATTCAATGTGTTATTAGTGCTTTAATTCCAGGTGTTGGGGGGTTTTTTTTGATGCTCAAGTGTCACAAATTTGGGCAGGGGGAGCCTTTCAAAGCAAGTCCTGTGTCCTTCTGAGACGTCCCTCTAGTCTTGTAGCATTTCCTTGCTTTCTGGCAGGGCATGGTCTTTAGGCTCACCTCTTACCTAGCTTAGAGCTGGAATTTCTCTAGGGAACAGTGGTTCATTAATGGGGATCAGCAATGAGAAACCAGGCTCTGGGCAGACAGGGCACTCACTGCTCTGGGTACCGTGGCTCCAACATCTGTTCAGTAGATAGAGCTGTGACGTGTGTGTGTGTCTGTGGGCGTCTTTAGTCACGAGTTCATACTGACAGCTCTCGTTCAGGTCCAGCACCGCAAGAGCCCATCTTGTCCCTTCCCGTATCCATCTTGTATTTCCTTTCTCGCGCAGTGAATCACCTGGTTCCCAACATCAGTATATTTACTCATTTTCTCTGTCACATAATACACACAAAAATGGTCTCAGAATTATAGCACTATCACTCAAATAAACTGCTTAGGCAAAGTTCAGAATTTCTTCATGTCCTTAGAATATATTCCACTAAAGGCACACAGGATACTGGGTGCAGAAGTTACTTGAATTCTTCCCTTCTGGTTATCTTAGCAGTTTGATAGACAGTTAAGCTTGTTTGATTCCATCTGTGTTCAGTTTCAGTATTTTCTTATTTCTTGATTATTTAATTTTAGATTTTTGAGTATGTAAAAACATTAACATGGTTCAGAAGTCAAACCTGTATAGAAAGGTCTACACTCTGCCCTGTCCCCAGCCACTCCCTGTAGGTAACCATGTTCCTTTGTTTCTGGTTTGTCCTTCCTGTGTTTCTCTCTGCAGAGATAAATCATAAATATATTCTTTTATCTCCTGTATATGAAAGAAGTACCCAGTACTCTTTTGCATTTTGCTTTTTTTATTCCCTTTTTTTTTCAATTTAAGGCACTGACTTCTAGTATATCTACCAACACTGATGCTGGAATACAGGATTAACAGTAAATTAAACAATAATGACCATGTAATATGCTACCTTAGAGTGAATTGCTTCACTTTTTTAAAAAGTTAGCTTTATCTGGTCATCAGGTATTGTAAGGGTCATACTACTGGAAAAGCTAATTCTTATAACTTATGGTCTGTTTGCTTTAGTTGGCAGAGTGATGCGAAATACACCCATAGCACAC